TGTGGGGCCGCCAGCGTCTGGCACTGTGCGAGCACCAGGCAGCCTGCAGAGAGAACACAGGCCTGAGAGCCGAGACTGCACCCTCGCCCAGTCCCGCCTGCATGGGGTCTCCCCTCCCCAGTCCCGAGGCCGCCCACTGGGCCCTCCTCGACTGGGGCGAGAACCAGAACCCACAGCAGGATCCAGAGAGACCCTCGCTCTCTCTAGGCTGCAGAAAAGCAGCCACTGCTCTGCCTCATGAAACTGGCCTTGCAAACTATCTTCCCGGTTGACTGCCCTCCTGGACACCTGGCACCCTGGCTGGTGCCCTCCTGCCAATAGCTAGTTAGCACTGGGCGCCCCAGCAGACGCTCGGAGGCACTTAGCACAGGCAGTGAGTACAAAGCCTGCCCCAGAAGACGGGGGTGGCAGGGAGACTCGGCTTCCCATGGAAGGAGCCTGTGGGCTGGGAAACACAGAGACAGTGTGATGGCCCAGGCCTCCAGAGCCATCAGTGACAGCCGTCCGAGGTCCTCCCCATGGCCCCGGCGTGACCACGGCTTCCATGACACCCACAGACAGGTGAAGCAGCGCCCTCTCCCAAGAAGCCAGAGCTGGTCCCCAGGTGCCCCTGTGTTCTCAGGGCCACTGGGACCTCCCCAGGCACACAGGGCGGCCCACGCTACCTGCACCTGGAACAGGCAGCCTGGATGGAAGGAGCCCCGGGTGCGCACCTCGTCTGTGGCTCCCCAGGCTGGGCCCCACTGGCCGCTCCAGCGCTGAGCCCTCCCCTTCCCCTCCCACATATGGCGAGGGGGAGTCAGAGGTGGGCCCCGAGCATGCAGGCCCCGAGCTTGTGCACACCTCGCCAGCACCGATGGGCAGGCGCACGACTGCCCCTCTGCCTTCGTCCCCAGCAGTGTCGGGGCAGTGTGGACTGCGGGTGGGGACCAGGCTCTCAGGAAGTCAGGAGGATGCCAGCCGAGAGCCGAAACCTGCCACCCAGGGCCAACTGGGCTGAGCCGGCCAGTCCCGGACAAGCGCCTTTAGAACGTGAGCTGTGTGGAGCGGCGGCGGCAAGGGGTCTGGGTGGCACACGGGGCAGATGGGTCGTGCAGCCACCTTGAAGCCG